CCTTCTAAACCCCGTTTCCCTCCCACACAGATTCAAGAAAGAAACAGACAGAGGAAATAATTATCTCCCTGTGAATTCATTATACTGAACAGTCCAACAAGAGACCTCTTCAAACCGGCGGCCAGGAAAATCAGATCCAGAGACCAAGGCATGGAAACACCCAATGTCAGGGAGACCATTCCCCTGGAGCTGCCAGGGAAGGTCAGTCCTCCAAGCAGCTGGTGCTGAAACAGGTTCCTCTTGCATGGAAATCTTCAATTGTGCAGCTCTTTATGAATAGCAAGGAAAGCATTTCCTGCTGGGGCCATGTGCCATATATGCATGAACTCCAACCCCATGGCAAACCCACCAGAGAGGTGGTGATGTGTCCATTTTGCAGGTGCGAAGACTGAAGCACAGGGAGGTTAAATAGCCTGCGGTGATGATGGTGAAGGCAGTGTTCAAACCCAGGTCTGCCGGGTTCCAGAATCTGCAGTGCCTTCATATTTAGAGACCAGCTCTAGGGAATAAGAGAAGGAAAAGAGCTGGCCCTACAGAATCACTTGGGGCCGGCAGTCATCCTGCAGGCAGATTCTTGGGATGAAGGGGAGGCGTGGGGCCTTGTCCTGCATGCACAGACCCAGAGCTGCTCTTCCCTGCTGGCTGGCCACTCTCTGTGCTGGGCTCTGTGCTCTGGGCCTCCTCAGGGAAGCTCACCTAGAGAGGGCAGGTCAGCCAAAAGACTCTTGGCTCCTACCCTCCTGCCCTGGACTCGATGTGCTCACTACAAGTCACCAGATTATAAGAGCCAAACAGTTGCTAATTCCTCAAGCCACAGGGGACAACTGGCCAGCCCTCAATTCATTCATTCAGCAAATATGTAATGAGCACCTATGTGCCAGGCCAGCTCTGGAAATACAACAGTAAAGATAGACACAGTGGTTCCTGCCCTGCGAAGCACATGAAGAACCATCTCCTCAAAAAGCATCATCTGCAAACTTGCTGGGGTACACCACACCCTACAGTTACCTCGCTGTCTTCACACCTCACTGATTTGGTCACTGATTTGCTCTCTCTTTTCACAGAGGGGAACAAAGGCCCAGAGAAGGGCACTGTCATGTCAAGGTCACCCAGCAAACTGCGGACAGCAGTGCCAGGCTCCTGACATTTGTAAGGTCCAGAAAGGTCCCTAAGGACCTTTCAGGATAGACTGGGGAGGGGATAGAAAGAACACACTTAGATGGAAATAAAGAAGCACTTCCTAACAGTCCAGAGTATCCAGGACCTGCCATCTCAGCTCAGAGCTCACCCACCCTAGGGCCCCTTCCACAGGACCCACCCATAGCCACCTGTGCCCCTGCAGAAAGAAGCTGCAGGGACCTCGTCCACCGGGGACGCCGAGCAGGTCTCACTTATCTTAAGTTCAGGTGAAGCAGGGACAGCAACTCCCACTTCATGGGTTTTCATCACAAGGAGACTCCATCATTCACCAGCCAAGCTTGTCTCAATCCCCAGCCAGGTACAAGATGCTGTGCCCAAAGCTATGTAGGTGGAGAGTTGAATCATTGACCCACCAGCACATATTTCCTGAGTAATTATGGGTCCGGCCCTGTGCCAGCTGCTGGCATGGTTCCTGCCTGCCAGGAGCCCACAAAACCCCGCACACAAACAACCAAACCACTGCTACACACAGTGTGGTCGCTGGACCAGCATCAGCATCACCTGGGAGCTCAGTAGACATGCATATTCTCAGAGCCCCAGCCCTGGAGACCAACTGAATCAGACGCTCTGGGGGTGGAGCCCAGGAATGTGTTTTTAAAATCTTGCCAGATGATTCTCAATGTATACATAAATTTGACACTGGTCTAGACCACAAGGCCTTCCCCAACCTCTCTGTATAAAATTGCCAACCATCCCCTGGCCTTGGCACCTGCTAACCCTCTTCCTGGCTCTGTTTTTCACCATAGTTGTATTGCCATCAGTCATAATACCGCATATTTCACCCATACAGTTATGATTTCCCAGGCTATTACATAAGCTCCAGAGGGCAGCAATGTGACTACTTTTGCTTGCTGCTGTAGCACTGGTTGCCTAGCACAAAGATGTGCTCAATAACTGTTTGTTGATTGAATGATGGATGGTAGAACATGCTGCATCCATCCCACTGAAATACTAGTTCTTGGGGGAACCTAGAAAAAGACAGAAGGTTGCTGACCATGGAACACTGCATGGGGAAAGTGGTACCCAGGCTGTCCTTGAATGATGTTTGAACCAGGGATGAAGGATGCTGGGAACACAGAGATGCAAGAGGTCCCAGGTGGTTGATACTGTCCTTATCTAATTAATAGCAGTGTGTTGTGTGCCAAGAACTACCCTAGCCTATATCACCTCACTTACCCTCCTAAACCTCTGGGGTAGGCAATGTTGTCCTCAAGAGAATACAAATGCTCAGAGATATTAAATAATTTGTCCCACCCACAAAAAGACTTGCATAAGAATGATCATAACAGCTTTATTAGTAATAGCCCCAACCTGGAAGCAAACTAAAATGTCCATCAGCAGGTGAATAGATAAACCAATTGTGCTATATTCATACAATTTATGTATCATTACTTAGCAATAAAATAGAACAAACTATGGATATACACAACATGGATGACTCTTAAAGATACTATGTTGAGCAAAATGAAGCCAGATGCAAAAATGTATATGCTGCATATAGAGTGTTAGAACAGAAATATTCTCACCACACTTAAGTGGAACTTAAGTAAAGCATTGATAATAAAAACCAGGTAAGTAGTTTCCTCTAGGGGTGTAGATGAGGGTGTTGACTGAAAAGGAGCATGAAGAGACTTTGTGGAGTGATGGACATGTTCCCTATCTGGATTGGGATGGTGGTTACATGGGTGTTTACATTTGTCAAAACTCATGGAACTGTACACTTAAAGTTTGCATTTTACTGAATATAAATATCTCAGTAAAAAAAAAAAAAAGAGCTAAAAATCATACGTCCTAGGTTACAAAGCCAGAACTGGAGATCTGAACCCAGGTTTGTCCAGTTCCAATGGCCAGTTTACACTAGTCTGCCACAGTTGAGGGGGAGCCCCAGACAATGCCCCCCAGACTGGTAAAGTGCCTCACCAAAATCGGAGTGAAGGAAATTCATAGTTACCCTGGGAAGGATGTCACGACCCCACAAACCCAAAGCGCGACAGAGACTTGTGGGAATGCCAGGCAAGTCTAAGAGGCAAGACCCTTGGGGTCAGGCCTCAGCTCTGCTCTTCACTTGCTACATGACCTGTGAGTATACTACTCCATGACTCAGTTTCCCCTTCTGGAAGCAAGAAAGAAAAAGGAGATCAATGGTTCTCAGTATGAGGCCACAGATGCTGGGAGCCACAGGGCCACAAGCCCCTATGCTCAGCAGGCGGTTATTATGTGAAATAAGTTATGTGACTGCCTCCTATCTAGTAAGCCAATTTTTCAAATGCATGCTAATATTACTAAGATTAATAAAATACGTATCTAGCAAAGCAAAAATGAAACCATAGCAGCTTTCTGTCATTTTGTATTTTCTCAAACAAAAGGTACGAAAACAACAGCCACTGCTCATGACTTTGGTTTAAAGAGGCTGGAATCTCTGTGTGTGGAGGATCACTAAGGGGACAGTCACCAAGGAAACAGTCGCCAAGGGCCCTTCTAGGTCAACTGTCCCACGGTTGTCCGGCATCACTTGAACAAATGTTTGCCCTTGTGCTTCTCAAGTCTGGGTCCCTGTAGGGACAAGTCTCTTGTCTGGACTCCAGGAACTAAACCGCCAAAGTGCAGGCTGTGTCCTGGTTTAGAGCCTAGTCTACAGGCCCCTTCAACTTGCACCTTCAACTTTAGTTTACCCTCCACCTCTGATGGTGACCAGCTGTAAGGATGGGCGCTGAGCATTTGCTACCCCCCAGTCCCTCACCATCAGCTCTGGGTCACAGTGCACCCCATCCCCTAACCAGAACTGCCCACTTGGGATCTGCTAGCAAGAGGTCTCTGACCCACCCTTACCCAGGCCAAGTGCCTTCCCCTACCTCACTCTGCCACAAGCCTGAATGCTTGAGAAGCAGGTATCACTTCCTTTCACAGATCCTGGTGACCCGGCTGCCACCTTTATCCACCTGGACATACCCTCAGCTCTAGGCCAGGGCTCCTAGACCATAGCCAGAAACCAGAGTCACCAGCTTCTCATTCCCCATGTGGTTCCCTCCCCACCCAGGTTCCACACTGGATTTGGGTGCTGAGTCAGAGCTTTACAGAGCATCAGAAGAAAGGAGGGGTCTCCACTGAGTGCCACCTCCCAAAAGCCCCCAGATGGGACTGCCCCAGGTCTGGCTGGGTTTACAGAAACACCAACCCCAAAAGGGGCATTCCGGGCTAGGGGGCACCCACCCACCTAGGCTTGGAGGCACAATCCTCAATCCCCTCCACCCCATGCCAACAAACCAGCAGCTGGAACCTTGCCAACTTCATATTTTAAAAAATAACAATACCAAGAGCAGAAGACGGACAAGCTGCCACACACCCAACCGCCTCCTCCTCCCTGAAGACTCCATTTGCTACTTCTAATCAATTTTCCCTTCATCAGACTGGAAGCAGCCAGAAAACCAGTCTTCTCTTGAGGACGCCATCCCCCTCTTCGGCTTCTAACTTTGCAGTTAGAAGGACAAAGATAATAATCCCCACATCCCCATCCTCTGGGCGACCTCACTTGCAGCTCACCCCGCCCCAACGCCGCCCAGGCCCTGGTGGCCCCAGCCCCAACCACCGGCCCAGGCTGAACTGCAGAGGGCTTCGCCCTGCGGCTCTAGGAGCCGCTGCCCGCTGCCTGCTACCCGCAGCCCGAGGACGCACGCGCTCAGCGATTCCCGGCCTCTGAGGCCGGCAGCATCCCCACAGCAAGGGGCGCAGGGAAAAGCCTGTGGGTGGGGTGGTACTGAGACCCCGGGAGGGAGCGGATCCAACCCCCGACGCGCACTCACCACGCAGTGCCACCCATCCCGCGCGTCTGCGCCGGGGGCCGCGGGGAAAACCCTCGCGCGCCGCTCAATCCGGGCTCCGAGTGACGAAGAGCCGCGCTCGCCTCCAGCCGGCAGGGACCAACGCGCAGACCCGCGGACGAACAGACCGTCTGTTTTCCTAAGTTTTAAAGTTCCCTCCGCGGCCAGAGAGACGCGCACAGCGCAGCTGCACCTGACCGTCCTGGGCTGGCCCCAGCATGGGGAGCGGGGGGCGCACGCCTCCGGTCCGGGGTCCCAGGCCCGCTAGCTTCCATCGCGGGAGGACGTGCCGGGCGCAGCGCAGCGGAGACCTGGCTGGGGTGAAGGCTGTCCCTCACTGCAGCCCAGCCTCCATGGACGCCCGCTCACCGTTCCCCGGAAGGGACAGGCCCAGACCGGCCAGTGCCAACTCGCAATCCGAGGCCCTGCCGGGCAGTGACGGCCAATTAGTAAATGACCCAATTAGTGTGCTGCGACGCTAAATTAAAACCCCGACGCGCGAGTGTGGATGACCAAGGTGAGGGTAGGGGCGGTGCCGAGGCTTTGGCTGCCCCTGCGTGTGACCGCGTGTGACTGTGTAACCATCAGAGCGATTAGTGTGTCTGAGGTTCACCGTCCATGGGGTGGCTGTGTGACTGTGCGTCTGTGCTTGTGAGTGCAAGCGTGTGACGGTCAGAGCGACTTCTTTGTGTGACTGTCCCCAGTTGTGACTGGGTGTGACAACGGATGGAAGCATTAACGGGGTGTGTGGCATCGTGGTGTGTAAATGGGTGACTTGAATGTGGCTGTGTGACGGTGGACGTGGCCAGGTGACTGCAGATCACTGTGTATGAATGACTGCTACGGTGACTTATGTGGGACGGTGAGACAGCGTAAGTGAATGTGTGACAGTGGGCCGCTGTGTGTCAGCTTGTGAATGAATGTGAGGCCGTCCGGACGGGAGCGAGTGTGGGTGTCACTGTGTCGTCGTACGAGTGACTGTTGGGGTGACTCCTGCCTGTGATCCGAACTCAGGGCGTGAGAATCAACGCGAGGTTGTCAGTGTGATGGCATGTGCCCGTCGGCGGAGCTGAGTGTGCGTGTCCCCGCGCGTTGGCACCACTAATCTCCCCACCGTGTGCTCCGAGAGTGTCCGCACCCCGAGCCGCCAGGTGACCCCTGCCCAGCGCTCCAGCCCAGAGCGCTCTGACCCCGGCGCGGGGTCCGAAGGCGCGGGCAGACCCCGCCCGCCTCGGCCCCCAGCCCCGGCCCCCGCCTACCTTGCCGCAGTGGTAGTAGTCCAGGTGCGCCAGGCCGGC